GCCAGTGAAGCAACGTCCTCCACAACTAGACTGAAGAACAAAACAACAGCAACTTGTCTGTTCCCCTTCCCCCGATTCCCCACCACTGTTCCCATCCCCCCAATTCCCCAATAAAAATCTTTAAAAAAAAAAAAAGTATCCGGTCTGAAGCAGTCTTTGGCAATAAATTTCACAGGCCTGACGTGACTGATTAATTAAATGGAGGAGATAGAAAATTAAACAGATAATTACAGTACTATTTAAACAGATTCATGAATGAGTGTTATGGGAGAACAAAGGAAAGTATGGAGAATTCTGCCTGAAGGCATCTAGAAAAGTCTCAAAAAAAGTAGAGGATCAGTAATTTTCCAGGCAAAGAAATAAGGGAAAAGACAGTTCTGGGCAAAATGTTCTGCACTAAATGTTATGCAACGTAGAAGGACTACGTTGTCAGAATTACAGACTTATGTGTCTGTAATGTTTTATTGGGTTAGGGTGTGGAGAGGGCACACAGGAGGTAGAAGATGACTCTGGAGAGAAAACTCTGAGCCAGAATCAAGGGGACCATGTACACTGTTCTGCAGAAGCTTTCGTTTTGTTCCTCAAATAGAAGTCTTTCAACAAGAGATTGGTATGTTCAGACTTAATGAGATCCTGCACTAAAGTACTGACAGGGAAAATGGAGGGAAGAAACCAAGTTAAAGCAAGACTTCAGAAGTTGACAAGGTTAGATGACTGAAAGGGGAAGAGGGAGAGGTTTTAAGGGGAGACTTGTCATGCACTACACTAGTAGCCTCGTGATTCAAAGGTTTGGGATTTGAGATGAAGGTTTTTCATAAAGTATGCTAAAATTGGGTTTGACATCGAGGAAGGCCTACTGAGCTCAACCTCCCAAGCAAGAGAGTTGAAACCAGAGCTAAAAGTAACTTTATATGTAAGCTTAGAAAAATGAGTATGTACTAGGCTATGATACATGTTAAGTGAATAAATAATTATATCTAAGTTTGCATGTTTTCTCAAATATTGTTCTGCATTCACATTTTGAAATAGAATAATTTGAGTTGATTTATTTACTCTTAAATTAGGGTAATCATCCATCAACCAATGAATATCAAAGTCAACCGGTTGCATCAGAATTCATCTTGGGTTTTTAATTTAAAAGTGCAAATCCTTGCTCTCCCTCCCTTCCGCCCAGTTATATCAGAATCTCTTAAGATGAGTCCTGGGAATATGCATTATCAGTAGCATTGGGCAAACCACGCCCTAAGTTTTAAGAACCACTGATCACAGCTGAGTGGATCAGATGAGTTCCTCAGCATAAGCCGATTCATGAAGGTCACAGTTACAAACAATGAAACAGTTACTCTAACTGTTTTTACAATAAAGATGATTGCAATATTAGGTTATTGGACTGGATTGGAAAGAAAAGACCACATATACTCCTGCTCTACGTCTGTCTTATTTTGCCAAGATCAGTTGCTAATGCTGCTTATGTGCCTGTAGTTTTTCCCTTGTCCACAGTTTTTCATGGCGCGCACAACAGTTGGTGACCCATTGAGCATGTAGGGTTCTGCTGGAATGGAGACAGCTACGTTCTTACTACTCCCCTTTTATACTAGGACTTACGGTACCATTCTAGAAAAATGTGAGATGATAATCTGGGCACTTTTGTGAAGGGATTGTTGACAAATGTTCATAGTTCTCAAATCAAACTGGGCATCCGGATGGTTATATTGTCGTCGGGGACCAGTGAGGAGGTTGTGCCTTCTGCCCACATGTTATCTCTGTCTTCAGTTCTCTGGTGTTCTGGAAGCTTACCTGGCCAACAGAATTATATGCATTGATATGTAAAGAACAAGATTTTCCTATGTGCTTCCATCTTAATTTAGTCATGTTGTCAACAAAGGGAAAGTTAATATGCTTACAGCACATTCATTCAAAGTGTGATTTCTAGATCGTAGCATATTAAACTGCCATTTCTAAAGAGTGTTAAGAGTATAAATTTGCAAACCTCCTATTGCAGATTGCTTGATTTGGCATTTAAAGACTGGGATTGGTCATTTGATGATGTTGATGGTGATGATGATGATGACCATGTTTTTGATTTCTGAAGAAATAAATGGGGTAAATCACAAAATGAAAGATGAGCTATTGTAGCACTTCCTTGTAGCGCATGTGGTTTGCTTGTGGGTTTTCATTATTTTTTACTAGTTTTGAAATTTTATTACGTTGTTTTTAATAGTATATATTTGAACAGTAGTTTTCAGAAAAGTTGCTAACTGAAATTTTCATGTTAAATATAAAAGTGAAATGCTATGTTCAGATTCTTTACTGGCAATATACTTTTCAATACAGTTGGAATTCTTATTTTTCATCTTAGTAATGAAACGTAGAAATAACAAGGAACTAATTATGGTACTTTCTGTTCATTCCAAATAAACTATATTCAGAGAAGTAAAATTTACAATGTTTTCAAGTTCCTCCAACCGTATTCGTTTGTGAACATAGCATGGGATTCCTTCCTCCCTCCTCTCTCCTTCCCCCCTTCTCCTCTTTCCTTTCTAACTTGCTGAAACCATAAAAACTTTGTAAGTCTAATAAGTGCTATGACATAGTTGTTTCTGATCTGGTTTTCTTTGTCATGCTGTGAAATGTTTGCTTTTTGGAGATTTAATGTTACGCTTGCTGAAAAATGCTAATGATATGCTGTGAAAGTTCATGTGCTTTTAGAAAATATCAAATAGTTTTATTAATAGTGGCTGAAGGAGATTTGAATGAAAATTGAACCTCTTGAATTAAACCTTTTACATGGAATGGATTTAAAGGAAGGTCTATCTTAACCTTGTAATAAGCACATTACAAAACATATACTTAAATCATGTAATATTGAGGATCTGTTTGTAACCAGGATATAGAGTATTTTTACCTACATTTATTACAATAATGTGTATGTTCCCATTTCTTAGATGTTAAAAATGTGGCTAAGGGTCAAATAGTTAAGCAGAACCTGGTCCATAGTCCACTGTCCTTCCAGCTACATGAGACAGCCAGCAGTTAAACTCCAAGTCAAACTTAACGTTCACATGACTTATTCAGTGACATACCATCTAATCCTGATAGCCAGTTAACTGTATTAAAACTTGTGTCATGTGTGTAGCCAATATGGGGAAATATGAAAAAAATAGAATTGCATGTACCTAAAAATAAGTAACACAATAAATATGTTTATGCATGATTTAGGTGTTAAAAGTATAGTAGATGGAAGACTAGGTAGTTTAATAATGTACATGGAATTTTCAAAGAATTTAACAAATGATTTCACGTCTCAACTAACTTTATTTTCCTGTCTTTCCAGCTAACTGCCTTCTGTGAATGCAGCCATTATTCAAGGTGACCATATTCTTCCAGTTAGAACAAGACTGAAGTGCGATGGCCCAAAATTTATTAAAAAGCTATATTTTCCTGAGAGACTGATATTATATATATATATATATATATAATTTTTTTTCTCCTTTTATTCCTGCAATATAAATTATAAATCTTGGAGAGATTTTCTGGGCTCCTTTGGAGCAGCAAGTTGAACCAACAATGATTGGCTCATAGAGTAAGAATATCATATGCAGCTCTTCCAAACTTGTTCCATAAAGCTCTCTTGGCAGCCACTCACACTACATTGCACAAAAGGATTGAGAAGAGTTAAAAGTTTAAAGAAATCATCTTTTCAGCTTCAACAGAGAGATTTCACCAGCACATTTACCAGAAGAATCTGGGACTGGATTCCACTACAGTGATACAGACTGCGTCTTTAAGAAGTGACCATTATCCTGTGTGTGTGTGTGTATACACACACACACACACACACACACACACACACACACACACATACATAGTACTGTAATACTGCAAGAGGGTTTTTTAAATGTCCCACTTTATATTTTTGTACACATGAATCAGATATCACTACTTACTACATTTGCAGCTATGCACTTGTATAAGCCATATATTGGGGTTTATATCACTCATTTGTGTGTATGAGATGGAGGCATGTTCATGTTTAAGCAATTACTGTAACAAGAAAGTTTGACCTTCATTATGTCAGTTTCCTAATGCTTCATGATAGGCAACTTGACCCATTTGGAATGCCTTAATTTAAGTTTTTTTCAAAGTCTCAATCCTTTTCTGTATTTAAAAAGCGTTTACCAGCTCTTAGGATGCAAATTTGCTTTGCAGGAGAAAAACAGTGCACTATTTTTACATGTAATAGTTATCAGTGTCAGCCTATTTTGATTGTATAACAATTTTTTTAAGTATTGGTGATAGAAACAATAATGGATAGTATTGGAACTAATATATCTCTTATGTGTATCTACTCTTCATCCAACCCCCTTTGACAGGCCTCAGTATTAGTGTGTGACTATGAAATATTTTCTTTGCTTTGTATTTGCTGACTATCTTAGATATGTTTTTATTCCTGGTAAAGACATTTGTGAGTATTTTTACATTTCACACTCAACATTCAAAAATTATCTCAAATATAAAGAAAACTAAAACATACTGTACATATAGTTTAAATATTTAAATGTGATCCTTTAAACACACAATTGTGTATGGCAGTATTTTAGCATTGGGCTCTGTAAACTGATGACTGGGAAGACGTGGCCTGAAAGGCTCTTAATTTTATTTCTTAAGTGCTATTAAAGTTAGTTTATGCAGGGCCATTCCTGTTGTATTTCTCCTCATGCCACAAAATTGTATATTTTATACTGTTATAGTATGCATCAACGGTAAGCATTAAGAAAGAAAAAAAAGATGTAGTCTGACCGGTCTCTCTTTATACACATACACAGTTGGGTGTGATACTGAAATGCATTATCTAATGTTTCGATGAAGGAAGACATTTTAACACTGATTGCCTCTAGGGTCAGTGTGGAGATGTTTAAAGAGTTAGCTCCCCAGTTAGAGATGCTGTTGTGGAAACTGAGTGGCTCTTGGCCTCCCGACATTCGTGCTCTGCTTCCGCTGCCCAGTCTGCGCCCTCGTGCTGTCTGGAAAACTAGGTGTGCATGCCATTCCCCACAGGCGTGTGCTGCAGTTCTGGTTTGGGGGCACAGGTTTTTGTTTTTTTAAAGTAAGATTAAAAATGAAAAATATATAAAATTTATATAGAATAAATATTTCCATTCTTTAGACTTGTTAAAAGGAGACTGAATTAATATTTTATATAAAGATTTTGTTACACTATGGGAGGTTCTATCATATTATTCTGAATTGGAGAGTATATATATATATATATTTTTAATAAACTTTATTAAGGTGAAATAATTTGAAGTTTACACATGAGTATTTGAAATATTTGAGTAAAATGGCAAACGTTTAAATTTCGAATGTTGTATATATTAGAGAATATGGAGAATCATGGTGTGATGCAACTATACCAGGAAGATTAATGTGAAGTGTTTTTGGGGAAAAGATATTCTAAGGGGTGAAAAAAAATCTCTCCCATGGAGATTCTTCACGTTATATGGTTTGTTTATAAGGTTGTTTGTCCAACTAATGGAAATGTGCTTAATAAAAGATTCTGACCTTGGGTAAGAATTTGCTTTTTACCCTGTTGCTGGTTTCATGTACATACATGAATGAATGCATGCACCCACCCAGATGTTCTCATCCCAGTACTCATTAAATCTGATATTGACTTGGTCTAACAACCTGATTTTGTGCTAGTTTCTCTTTTTCTTGTGGCTCCAAAGCTTCCAAGATAAATATAAGACCAAAATTTCCTTATTTTTTCACACCTGATTTCTCCTAGAGCCATAAATACCTCCTATTGAGAGCTAAGAAGTAGTGAATACTGGGATTTTCTTAGTTGGAATTTTTACTTTTGTGGGGATAGCGAGACAGAAGTAGAAGGAAAACTGGTGCCGGTATTACTGTTGAAAATTAGTGTATAGTGAATTTTTGGAAATAATTTTTTTAAAATGTTATCTAGGAGCAAGAATTTTTTTAAAATCTCTGAAAGTTTAAAATGCTAAATTCTAAAGCATAAGTACATCAATAAATCTAAAATAAAGTTAGTGTTTTTCAAACTAACCTATGCTGGAATTACAGGAGTCTGGCTCTGAAGGATCTCCTTTGCATGCTGATCTGTAGATCCTTAAGAAGTGCTCTGGGTTGCCAAACCACAGTTTAAGATGTTATGCTGCTATTGTTAATCTGTTTTTATAGGATTCCGGTGTACAATAGAAAAACTTAGACACTATATTACGTTGTTGAAACATGCTTTAAGAAACATGTTTAGAAAAACCTGACGAGAGCAGGTCACTTCTGAGTCTCTGTCTGTGTTGACACTGCTGCTGACTCCTCCTCCCTTGGAATGAGGCTTCAGCGTCCCTGCTGTGAAGACAGCAGTTGATTTGCAAAGCACTTTGAAGATAAGCACTGTGTGACAGTGCTGACTATTATGCCCAGGGCGTCTCCTTGATTCTCTTCTCCATAATAATGAGTTGTGTTGGAACTGTAATAAGTTATGAACTGCATGGTTTAGATAATCATAAATACCTGATGGGCTGTCCCCCTTGAACACAAATCGGATCGTATCCCCCTGATTTTTCTTTTAATTTGTTGCATCTTTGTAGTAATGTATTTTATGCCTGCTTTTTATATTGAAAAATAAAGAAATTAAGACAAGCATTTTCATACTTTTCCTGTGAAATACTGGAATGCCGCAATGTCCTAAATTGACCCTCCCACCCCCTCCCCACCCCCCATTTGCCTTTTCCCTAAAGGTGGGCATAGAAGGTGAGCATAGCAAACAAGTCATAACCGACGCTACAGACTTGCAAATCCTGCCCTGTGTCTTAGCCACAGAGAAATACAAAATAGAGACTTTCAACTAGGAGTCTGTCTCGGGTATGCTTTTGGTATTTTAAGGAGCATGCAAGCCTACAGTCTTTTTACGTGTTGAGGATAAAGAGGCAGGGTGCCTGTTCTGTCAGGAATAGTGTGCTGGCAGGTGGGTTTCTAACGGGATTCTTTCCCAGGATACTTCTTGGTTATCTGATTTGGGACAGGTTATTCACTCTGAGCCTCAGTATTTTCATCTGTAAAATGGAGATTGTTTAGTTGCAGGATTGTTGGGGATTGATACGGTAATGTGTGAAGATTATCTGGAATAGCTCAAATGTTTGTTCCCTTCCCTCCCAAAGGAGAAATATAGAGAGCTCTTCATCTAAGATAGTGTATTCTTAAAGGAGTTGCTTTAATCAATGATAAAGTCCTAATAAAAAAAATATAGTTAAATAAAATGTTGGACTAAAAATCACATAATTTGTATTTATACTAATGGTCAGATTGTAATTGCATATGAGAAAAGATTTACTTGGATTTTTAAACAATGACAACTATGATTTTAAAAACAACAGAATGAATGATTTATTACTTATGTTTAGATATATGCTGGTCCCAAGCAGTAGTTCTAAAAGGATTAACCACAGTTTTAAAAACTGCACTTTACATAACTTAAAACTAATCACATTAAAACAGACAGTTTTAAGACTCGGCAGAGTTCAAAATATGAAAGTTTATTTACAGAGGAAATTAAAATGTTCTCTAATAAACATCATTTACTTACTGCATATACCAGAATAATGCCATTCAAAAAGGGGGAGTTTTTAAATGTTGGGGTTTATAAACTTTTGTCTGAAAATGCACTGTCCAGTAATCTTATGCTTAGAATATGGTATTATAATGAAAATAAAATCCATAAGAACTTTGCAGAACTCAGCAATACCCTTTACTGCATATATTTTCTTTTTTTAATTTTAATTTTATTTTTTTTACAGCAGAGGATAGTTTTATTAGAGCAAAAGTAACAGCTCTCAAAACAAGATGGGGTCCCAACTGGGGTGCCCCTACTGCATATATTTTCAATACACAAAACAGCCCAGGTCAGCTGTATTTTGTATCTAATTCTAATAACGGTAATTGTATAGATGTGGCCCTTATAAAAATGGCAGCACAGTGAATACGTTTATTGGGATTGCCTCCTCATACCTTTTGTTAGGGATTACTTAAAGGCACAGTATGAAGCAAAAGGACAACTTTGGTATGTGAATCTCAAGCCAGTTAGTTACATGTTTGCTTGCCCTGATATACCTATATAACCTAAGGAGGTATTGAACTGTATTATGATACAATAAGGCCATCCTGTTACATCTGTGTTACAATTAAACGTTAGTCCCAGAAAGGGAACCCGAGTAATTCATTACAGTTCCACTTCTGACATTGAGCAAAATTCTACTCCATGTTCATTTGTGCCGTGGACAGGATTGATTTCTTAAAAGATTCTGACAGCTGAGAAAAACCAGCGAGTTCTAGTTAGCTTGCTGGAGAGGACTTAATGAAAGCGATCTCAAAATAGGCTTGGATGATTTCCATCAATCACCAACCTTCTCAAAACTGCAGATATCTGAGCCCTGACTTAAACTAATGAAGGGGTTGGGGGAAGGGAATGGGAAGTCATTTTTAAACATGTTTAAGTGGCTCTTTCAAGCCTAAAATTCCTTTGGCTTCAAAGTTCTAAAATGATTGACTAAATTTTAAAAGACCTTGACTTAACAATGAGCTTTTCTTTCCTCTGGTTCAGTGATTCGAAATCCACTGTGTGTAGGAACAGTGATTCCATCATTCAGCCTTGAAAATGGCCTTCCGGTAGCGAAGTACTGTCGCGGTTACCCAGATGTTTAAAGCCAGCATGACCACAAAACGTATAAGAACTGAAATCGGTCAAAAGGAAAGAAAAAAAATACATATTAAAAAATACTGTTTTCACATAAAACAATCACCTCCTGCTCTAAGTAGCCTAAATAAAGTTTCACCCCCCAAAACTAAAACTTACAACTATGGATCATGAGAACTTTTGAACAACTTTGGTTCAAAATATTTCTGGAAAAAGGATCTTCCTATCATGACTACCATTGATTGGCCACTTGGCCTGACTTCATGAATAATAATTGATCTTAAATGTTTAATTTGGAGGAACCTGGTTCCAGCTGATAAGGAATATTATAACTCTTAAAAATCCCTTTACTCAATTTTAAGTCGAGGGTAGTGAGTGGCGTCTCAGAACATATTCCATGTAAAGGAAGGGTGGTATAGTGCATTCTGTTCAGATAATCCTGAAAAGCTGACCCAAACGTCAAAGCCTGTTTTATACTGAGATGATCATGAAAACGTGGCTCTTTGTTTAAAAAAAGAAAAAGTAATGGTGACTTGAGGAACACTCCTGATAAATAAAGTTTATGAGATTGTATCTTTCTGGTTGTAAAACATTTAAGATCTTAGCTAAACTGGTTTTGAAAGGTTATCTCAAGATACACTGATCTCTTTCTGGAACAGCTGGCACCTTAGACACAAAACAAACCACAATTACAATATTCTCAATCCTTTAAACTTAATTTTCAATAAGTAGGTTTGTTTTGTTGTTTAATTATACTTGGACTCTCCTTTCCATGCAGAGAATTCAGCTTCTGCAGGGAAGCCTCAGGCTGTCTCCTTCCGCTTTCCCCACTTGCCCCACCAAGTTGATGCTTTGACCAGAACACTTTCAGTACTCCTCTCAGAGCTGACAGAAAAAGCCTTTGCCTGAGGTGAACTACCATCTCTACGAAGGGGCTAACAAAGGCGTCCCACCGTGCCAGAGCAAGAGTTGTCAAGTGATGAGCTCACTACAGGGTCTGGGTCAGGGACAGATTTCGAGTTCATAGCTGGGGCAACTCCCATCTGTTTTAATCATTTTCCAAAAACTATATGCTCGATGTGGGAGTTGAAAACTCAGCCTCAGGAATTACTAAATTCTTTTTAGGTTAACCCAAGTGTTTCATTTTCTCCTCCATCACAGAATCCCTTTTGAAAAAACAACAAGGACATGGAGTCAAATGATTATGTCACTTCCAGCTTTAAAAAGCATTCCACTGCTTGTGGGCAATTCTCTGAGGTTCCAGGCCATTTGGCCACGATACCTCCCCTCCCAGACCCACGCCCCATGCGCTCACTCCTGGCCTGCTGGTACACTCGGAGGCTAAGCCGCCTTGCATCCTCTTTGCTTGTGACCTTCACACATGCTGTTCCTTGTAACCGTCTTCACCTTCCCCACATCTCCTTCCAACTCATCTTCCCAGCTCCCTCCAGTTAAGGCCAGGTTCCCATTGGGTGGCTCATCCTGTCCTCTTTCAAAATACATTTCACAATATTTTTCAATTTATTTCAAGTTATTTGTGTGATTACTTCACTGTCCATTTCCACTGCTGGAGTGGAAGCTCCACGAAGATAGGACTTGACCCTTGTGAATATTCTCTGGCATCTACAAAAGTAGTAGGTGCTTAATACCATAAATGGTGCGGATCAAGACCTGGGCCTCTAACTTTCTAGTCCAGTGGAGCCAAGTTAATGTGTTAACCCCCAGGACAACTTACAAACAAAGGAGGCACAAATGGCACAAAATTTCAAAAGGAAGTGGGCAGAAAAAGATTTTGCTTACTTGTAAGATCATTGGTGGTCATTAAAGTGGTTACTATTCTTGCTGTAAAAGAAAATTTTCAGCAATAAATATCAACTCAGACATTTTGGTATTTAGCTAATGTCAAGACAGGAATATATACTAACTATTCTTGAAAGATTTTGTTAGTACGGAATACTAAATAGCACCGTATTTCATAAAACATATCAAAGCCAGCCATTGTG